TCCTCCTTGCCTTTCATTCTCACTCCTACACCCTCCCCACAAAAGCTGAAAGAGAGTCAGATGGCAAAGGGGAAACGTGCTTTGCAGAACCCCAGCCGTGGCATCAGAAAACACAGTGGAGAAGGAGGCAGCTGGGAGCTGAAGCTGGGAGCCCGTAGCTCAATAATTAGCAAAAAGAGATTACGTCCTAGGGTGGTACCTGTGGCTCAAAAGAGTAAGGCACCAGCCCCATATGCTGGAGATAGTAGGTTCAAAACCCAGCCCTGGCCAAAAACTGCAAAAAAAAAAAAAAGAGAGAGAGAGACTAAGTCCTACCTGTGGATCTGGGTAGAAAATAATTTTAAAGTCTCCAGTGAGAAATCAAAACAGAAATTTTGTACATAGCATAGGTATGGAGTGCAAACCTAGACCACCCTCTGGATCCATGGTCTGGGTGGGACTGGGGATCTCTCTACACCTTGATCCTTGATATCCTTTTGTTTGTTATTTTAAACAGAGTCTCACTCTGTCCCCCAGGGTAGAGTGCTGTGGTAGCTCACAGCAATCTCAAACTTTGGGGCTCAAGGGATCCTCCTGCCATAATCTCCCAAGTAGCTGGAACTACAGGCACATGCCACTGAGCCCAGCTAACCTTTCTGTTTTTAGTAGAGACGGGGGTCTTGTTCTTGCCCAGACTGGTCTCGAACTCCTAAGCTTAAGCAATCCTCCCATCTCTGCCGCCCAGAGTGCTGGGATTCCAGGTGTGATCCATCATGCCCAGCAACAACTTTATCTTCTTGACTTGGAAACAAAGGTAGATAGATAGGTTACGACGTGAGGATTTGATTCTCGTACAACATGGGAGTATTTTTGAGTGTGGAGGCCTAGTTCCCAAAGTGGTGTGTTTCTGAGGCACATGTGGCAGCCTCCTGATTTGATTAAATCTTTAAAATAACCTCCAAATGGGAGCCCCTGGAACAAACGGTTGGTAAAGACAGAGAGCAGCTTGTTTGCCGTCTCAGGAGCAGTCCAGTAAATCGGTCATCCACTCCTCAGCACTCCATCAGTTCACTCAGTCTGTTCCGGCACCCGGGGGGCACAGAGCAATAAGCCGTCTTATAACACTCAGTTATATTCGACGAGGGCAGAGAACCACTAGAACATTTTGAAACAGAACCATTCTCCTTTACTTGAAATGATATTTTTTTAACATCATGAGGTTTTTTTCTTAAATTAACTTGTTTTTCAAAATAAAACCTGTATTAAATTTCACAGTTTTTTGACAGATCTGGGAGACTCTTAAAGAATGAAACTAGAGAGCCAAGTTGCACAGGTCTAGTGTCTGTACAGAACGTTTGTAAACACTGCAGGATATTACAGGGGTACAAATGTTTGGGGTACAGGAATTGCTTCTGTACAGTTTGAGGCAGGTTATCAGTGTGCCCCTTCCCTGGCTAGCACACAGCACTTTTAAACCTGAAAATGTGCTGTGATGCCTACGTTTTATCTTCACAATGCTGTAAGTTAAATAGTTCCCCCAGCTACTACCACTCTGAGATGAAGAGACTTGGGTGTAGAGAGCTGTGCTTGTAGTTTCAGATCACAAAACAAAACCGTGCTGAGAGGAACACACACCTGGGGTCCTCGTCACTAGAACATGGGTTGTCTTAAGAGGGAACTTTCATACACTCTGCGGGGTCAGCTCTCCACTATATGTCAAGTTTCAAGGCCTAGCCTTGAATAAAGATGGAGGGGAGTGGGGAAAGAGGTTCAAAAGCAATAGATTTTTTTCTGAATTTGAAGAAATGATATCTAAGAAAACAAAGAAGGATGAGAAAGACACAGCAGACCACGATGGCTCAAGAAAACTAGAACTTTTTAAAACAAAGACAAAAAGCCAATTAGAACAAATATTCTCCAAATGTCTTCAGGTATTAAAGTTTACAAACAAGCTCACGTTAAGCCTCCAGGGAAGTTGAAGGTGCAGGACCCTGGGAAGGTTCCCAGGAAGATGTAGTAGGGGAACTGCCTAGGGCCTGTTCTGTGTCCTTTACGGCTTCGAGATTCGTGACCTGCCACCTGTCATCCCCCACTTGGTCCCCTCTGTGCAGAATCTGGGCAGGGAAGACGACCCAGGCCCTTCGTTTTGCCTCGTGGACACTGGGAACAATGTGTTGTGAGGAGGAGGGCCCAGGACTGCACTCCACAGACCTGGTCCATGGCCCCTGCAGCCACCTGTCAGCTCCCTGACCCAGAACACAGCCTTGAACTCTGGGGCCAGGCCTTCGTCACTTGTGAAATGATGGGATTGAACTAGACCACCTTTAAGGTCACTTTTTTGCCTTGACCTTCAATAAATTAGGCCTGATTAAGAGAAAAAAACATGGTTAAGTCCCAGGGTTTAACCAAGATCCCTAAAATCTCTTGCTTTTCTTTTTTCCCCTTTTTTGTCCAGGCCGGACCTTTATTTTCCCAGCAGGATGGGATCTGATTCCGTCATGTAGCTCTGGCAGAAAGTAGAAAGTCTTTATTCCAAGCTGCTGTCTGCCTTGTACTGACATAGCGAGACTTTGAGTCTACATCCGTCTAGATGAACTGGGTTTCTGCCAAGGCTAAGAGCAGAGATTTGATGTGACACGGGGGGCACCAGAAGGACCTCTTAGTTCTTGCTAAGCCTGTCCTGTGGGTAACATGGCTAAGATCATTCCAGAAAGTCTGTTGGGTTGAATCAAGAGCAGAAATGTAGAGGGGAACTGCCTCCCTGCACACGCCCTGCCCACGCCCTGCCCTTGCTCCCCTCTCTAAACCCCTTTCCTTCCCAAGGAGAGGCCTGGGACATAGCATGTGTGGGGAGAGTTCTGGGGACCAACATGTGAGAAGAATCTTCTTGCCATTGGAGCCTGAGTCTGCTGTTTATGTCATCCCTGGTGTCCCCTCCTTGGGAGGCTGAGCCTCTCTGAAATGCAGGAGCTAGGCTAGTGTGGAGTGTGCTATTACAGGCAAAAAATTATGATTTCTGGCAATGTCATTCTCACATGTGAGACCTAAGAGTTATCTGGGCTTCACAATAATTAGGAATAAATGAGAAACAGTTCACTGGTTTAGTTGTGTTTGTTCTGTGGCTTCCACTTTGCTGACTCTCTGCTCTGCAAGATTGCCCGGGCTCTGGCCCGGGCGGCCGGGTCCCACCTCTCCCATGCCCAGAACTCTGCCCACTCGTCCTTCCTGCCCATCCTCTGCCACCTGAAGACTCTCTGATCCCCTCCTGAGTTGGGAGCTCCACCACCAACCAGCACAGCAAGTGTGGGCTTTGACTAGTACGTGAATGAGAAGGGAATAATGAAGGTCAGGGGAGGGGGAGGGAAGACCCCAAACACTTGGGGTGCAGAGTGTTTACCTTCTCTGATTCTCCTGAACCCGTTTCACTCATCCTCATTATTTTGTATCTCTCATTTTTCCTCTGAATACAACGGCTGAAAGTTAACTGGGGAAATGTCTAAATCAAAACACCTGAATACATATCAAGACCGTGGAACAGAGGCTCTGGCTCTAGAATCTGATGATTCCTCTGAAAACTGTTTCTAGCAGATTGTCCTTTCAAACAGTGACTCAGCCGGACTGTGACATTCCAAGCACTGTTTGTGTATGAATTGTCTATCCACATGGGTTGGGAAGGCATCCTTGCAGAAGAGGGGCCCCCCAAGTTCACAGCCAAGGTCAAGGTAGGTTGATCTGCAGGAAAATTGGGAAGTCAGAAAAAAGCACACAAAAAAGCCCCAGAGAGAATGGAGCAGAAATTCCAAGAAAAACATTTCTTCACTAAAAAGGCAAGTCATCAAGTCCAGAAGTCCCTTGTTTTGTCATTTTGAGACCTGCCACAATGAATATGTCTAAGGAGGCTGCCGGTTGTGATCAACCAGAACATTTAAATAAACAGCAAACAGCACTTCCTCCGGCTGGAAATAGAATTTTCAGTGCATCCACTCTTATGTCAGGAGAGGGGGGAGAAAAAGAGATGTAGAAAAAGTATATATCCAAAAGTAAAGCACCACACAGCGTGATGCTTTAAAAGAAAGCAAAAATATGAACTCCGTGTATTCACCAACCGAGGGCCAGCCACAAGCAATTTCCAAGGAGTTATGGCTGCTGCACTTTGGAAAGCAGGAGTGGAGGGGAAGTGTCACTTCAGATAACTGCAATTTAAGCAAAACAACAGCTTAATAAAGTGTCAGCAGCTTCCTCACAGTTTAAAACAGATGGGCTTTGCTACCCAGGAAGGAGGAGAATTTTCAGACCCGCTGTGATTTGGAGAGTCTGTCTTCACCCTTTACTGAATCATTAAAAGTCTGAGAGCATCAATAATGATAAAGTCTCCAGTTTGCTTCAGAAGCGTCAGTGTCAAACGTCTCATTTTGCCAACAGTACAAAACCGTCATCAGCTGCAAATTGTGATACACAGAACAGACTTGGTTCAGTGGGCAAACTTTGAACAGGGTTTTAGCCAAAATATTTTCCATAATCTTTTTTCTCTTTTTATGATAGAGTATCCATGAGGCTACTTAATGAGGTGGCTCACATATCAAGGGCAGAGCTATCAATCATATACCACACCTCTCTATCTATCTATAGATAAATAGATCTAAATATAATCTACATGTGTTAATCTGTCTCCTTTAAATAGACAGATCTCACATATTTATCTTAATGTTCAGTACTTCTTTCCATTAAAATTTGATTGTTATTACTTCAGTTATTAATCCCATACAGCATTTTATTTTGAAGGTAAGTTCATATCACACCAGTATAAAAAATGATGTGACATTAAGACAACAGTGTGTCCACGGTGCCTAGTTATCAAAGTTGCAGATCCTAACGAACCAAAGCTCTGTTCCAGACTGAAACAGCGAATTGGTCTCCCTCCTCTTCAGTTTCTGATTCTGGAATGGACTGCCAGCAAGCCCAATTCTGGACATGTCCACAACTTTGTTAAAGGAGCTGTAGGCCAGAAAAAATTATCTTAAAGAGTTTATCAGACGTTTGGCTAAGATCAAGTGTAGTATCTGTTCTTATCAGTTTAATATCTGATACATCCTCTATCCAAGGACAATATACTAACCGATTTTTGGAGCACGGAGTTGGAATAGGCGCTTGCTCCGTCACTGCACGCATCGCCCTGGTATTACAGTATCTCCGGGAATGGTGCAGTCCCTCGAGGGATCAGAAAAAAACGAAAAGGAGTTACTTAAGCAGAAAGGAGAAATTTACCAAGCAATTTCCCACTTCTTGATGGGGCCTCATCCCAGGCCACAGTGCCTCCTGCACAAGTGGCTCTATCTTGTGATTTAACAGCAGGGTATTTCTTAGCTCATCCCATCTGCATCCATTTTCGCAATGACTGAACAAATGCAATTAGCTTGCAGTGAGCCAAGTAATGGTTTTCTTAAAGAACTGGGGATGCTTTCCTAGGCTCTAATGTGCACGGACGTCTGCTGCAGCTTCTTCCAGCCAGGTTCTCATTAGCAGCAACCACGTCTTTTTCCAGGATACCAAGGCAGAAATTTTGCCACAAGAAAACGACACCGTAAGATTGAAGAGCTGGCTGAGCGTGTGCGTGGGGCGAGGCTGGCCTCCCTGCTAGTCCCAGCTTTCACTCCTGCTGGGTGCCGGCCCTGCACTGATGGTTTGCACGTGTTATGCCAACACTGTAGAACCACGGTGCAGCAGAGCAGAGCCCTCAGGTGTCTGTCTCACCACTGCGTCCCTGGTGCGCTTGAGATGTACTCAAAAGAACCTGTTTTGGAAGGTTGCCTGAAGACCTCTAGGAGTCGTCTTCAGCCTTGGACTCAGCATCTTCTCTCTCTTGGATATTCCTAGAAGTAAGCTGGCTTCCAAGGAGTCATCCCAGGGATGCTCTGAGAACCCCGTACTGTCCCCAAGACGTTCACAGTTAAGGGAACTGGGAAACATTTTAATGGGTTTGTTTAATTCACCGTCTGATGGAGAGGACATGAGTTGACAACACGTGAATGGCCACATACAGATAGAAGTATTTAAATGACACTATTAATCTAACTCAGACAAACACCTTCCATTTGAACTGACTAAAGTGGATAACAGTACAGTTACGGGTCATCCAGGACAACTTACCTATATTTCTTCAATATTCAGTGACAAATACTATGTGCATATGAAGCAGGGTACTAGGGTCAGTGTAGACACTCAGCTGAAACGGGTGACATCACAGTCAACCAACCTGCCCAGCCTCAAACTCCTGCATTATAGCTCACTGATAACCACATTTTATCAAATTGAAGACACATTCTGATTTCAGAGATGGTAGGATGTGAAACACAGTATGGACATATCTCAGAGACACCACAGGTTGAGTTCCAGACGACCACGATAAAGTGGATATTGCAAAAAAGCCAGTCACACACATCACACAGTTTCCCAGAGCACACAAAAGTTATATTTGTACTGTACTGTAGTCTATTAAGTGTGCACTAGCATTACGTCTGAAAAAACAGCATATATACCTTAATGAAAAAATAATTCACTATAAAAAATCCTCCCAATTTTCTGGGCCTTCTACAATCACCGACTTTTTGCTGGAGTGAGGGTCTTGCCTCAGTGCTGATGGCTGCTGACTGGTGGCTGCTGAAGGTTGGAGCAGCTGAGGCAACTTCTGAAAATAAGGCAACAAGGAAGTTTGCTGCGTCCATTGGCTAGTCCTTTCCTAAAAGATTTCTCTGTAGCATGTGATTTGACCCACAATAGAACTTCTCTCAAAATTGGAGTCAGTCTTCTCAAACCCTGCACTGCTTTACCAAGTTTCTGCAACGTGCTAAAGCCTTTGTTGTCATTTCAGCAACGTTCACGGCGTCTTCACCAGGAGTGGTTCCTGCTCAACAACCACTTTCCTCGATCATCTATGCAGGTTTCATCATGAGACTGCAGTGATTCAGTCACTTCTGCAGCCCCACTTCCAGTTCTCCAGCTGTTCCCACCACCTCTGCTGTGACTTCCTCCACAGCAGTCTTGACCCCCTCCCAGTCATCCCTGAGGGTTGGAATCAACTTCTTCCAAACTCCCATTCGGGTTGATGTGTTTCCCTCCTCCCATGAATCATGAATGTTCATAATGGCATCTAGAATAGGGAATTCTTTCCAGGAGGTTTCAATTTATTTTGTCCAGATTTATGAGAAGAACCACTATCTACGGCAGCCATCGCCTTCTGAAATGTATTTGGACGGTGCCACTGTAGAAAGGGCACCAATGGACCTGGGGGATGTAGGGCTGCCACAAACCTTCAATTTGTACAAACATAATATCTGCAAGAACAGTAAAGCCGAGCAGAACACAATGAGGGACTTTAGTATTGTAATGCTCCCTGCCGTTGGCTCTGCTATTGTCATTACTACAATGCCACTGACCCACAAGGAGGATGACATAAGAAATATTAGTATTAGGTACATTGGATACGTGCTTTTCCATTCTTGTGATGCCTTACTAACAAGAATGTGTTTCAGCTCCATCTAGGTTAACACACATTCTTCTTAGTAAGGTATCACAAGAATGGAAAAGCAAGTATCTAATGTACTCAATTCTAATATGAAGCCAGTAGATGATCTATTACACGCCCTCATAAGAGAAAAACTCAATTCAATTCAAGTTGGGCGGGGAAGGAATGAGGGCGGGGCCAGAGGGAAGGAGAGGGGGATTGGTGTGCTCCCACTTAATGGGTACAAGGTAAGGGTACATGGTGCACCTCTTGGGTGCAGGACACAATCACAAGAGACTCTACTTAACAAATGCAAACATTATAACCTAGTTGTTTGTACCTGAAATTTTAAAAAATGATGATGGAAATAAAAATAATATGTAAGTACATGATGGTTTAGGATAAAACTGGGACGGGTTTCTCTCAAAGCACTTTTTCTAGGATGAATTTGCAAACTTAATTGTTAGACCTTGGTATGACAACAGCTGGAATGGCCATTCCAGATAAAGAGTTCCAACACTGCTTTGAAGGGCGCTGGCATCAGGGCGTAGCTTCCCAGGGGAGTATTTGCAAGGTGACTGTGGTGATGAGGCAGGTAGCACCTTTTCTAGGACGAGCTCAGGAACTTCATTGTCCAATCTCATATAAGTCCCTGAACCACCAGGCTCTCAAAAAGGAGGCGTGGATGCTGGGTTCACAGCATCCGGCGTGTAATAAGCTCTTAATAATCGCGTATTAATAGAATGAATGAGTGAATGAATGAATGACTTGCACATGGTCCTTTGTGAGAAGCAAAGGATAAGAGTTCCAGGACTATAGAATATTAATAACAGCTACACAAACCCAGGAAACCAGCATGGAGTTCCACCAGCTCGAAAGGATGAATTAGCTGAGAACAAGCTGGCTGAGATGAAGGTCATGGTATATTTCTGGCAAGGGACATGGCTCAGTTTATTTTCATCTGTAGAGCCACAGAGAGCACGCATGTTCACACAGAGCAAGGGACAAACCCTAGCAGGATACAGATGAACTTTCTCCCATGGGGATTTTAGGAGCTGCAGAGGCCAGGTGTGGCTCTGGTGGCTTTCCTTCGTGGACTCTGCAAGACCAATGGAACCCAAGTGGGATGCAGGAGCCTAGAGGCCCTCCCGGCTCATCCCCTGGAGAGTGTACAGTCCATAGGCAGAGGAAGATGTCGGACCCATGTGCTCTGAACCCTTATCCAGGGCCGGTTCTCCTAAACTGTGATGCTTTTCCAAGTCTCCTGCAGGAAGGCTAAGGGTGCGACTGGCTGACTCAAGTCCTTAAAATAATTAAAATTAGTGGCCAAAGGTAAACAGAACAGTCTTTTGACTCAACACTTGCCATTAAGCCTTGTCACATGTCCTCATCAAAGTGAGAGGGGCAGATGCTGATATGGGACATTGTCCACTGCAGGGAAGCTGCTCTCCAGCAAGGGGGGGGGGGGTGTCGCTCAGGGAGGAATCGCTTTGCTTTAACTAAGGCCAGGCCACAGCGCTCAGCTGCTACAGAAGTGCTGAGCTGGTTTTTACTTTGCCTCAGGTGTCACTGACAGCGCTGTCAGTTAAGCAGGGATTGCTGAATCTTTATTCCTGGCAATGAGGCGAGAAATAGAAAGCCGCACAGCTGGATTTTCTGATCACAGGTTGGGTTTGCAAGGCTTAGGGCTGGGGAGGGAGAGAGTCATCTTTTAATGTGCTAACTGAACAGTCAAGCTGGAAGTCAAAATCTATAAAATTGAAGAGGGAATCCCAGATTTTGTCTGCTTCCAGTTCATGGCTAGGGCTGTTCTCTAAAAAGAAATAACAATTCTGTTTTAGGTAATTAAATGACATAAGCAAGAACCCTCCAAAAGTGAACATCATGGGATATAAATAATTTAAATACAAATCCTGTCTCTGCCTTACAGCTAGTCTATAAATTTCTTGCAGGAAAGGACATTTCTGTCTGTCTCTTTTATTCCCCATGGTGCAATTTACGGGACCATGCACACAGCAGGGAAAGAATACGTATTTCTGAAACAAGTGAAAGGCTACAGACCAGATGTAGCTCAACTCTCCAGCAAGCAGAAATGTACAGGGCTGAAAAGGAGGCATCAAATAAATATATAAATTTATAAATGAACAAAAGGCTTGAAACTAACGTATTAGAAAGGAGATGTCCCTACCAGCTAGAGCCAGGACTTCAGAGTAAGAGGACGTGGGTTCAAATCCTGCCTTCCTCACCTTCTCTCTGCGTGACCATCAGGAAATTAGTTAATTTCCTCACACCTGAATTACTGACTTAGCCAGGTTGTCATGGTCCTGCGAAAACATGAGTCAAGTTATGTCACTCCTCTGCTCCAAGCCCTTCCCCCAATGGCTTCCCATCTTATGCCAAGTAAAAACCGATCTTTTTCCAAGAACTTAGAAGGTTCTGCATGGTTTGTCCACCCGCTCCCTTACCTCTCCACTCTGGTGTCCCTCCCTCTTGTAGACCATATGGTACTTTGGGTGACAACCCAGCTCATTTGTTCCCTTCTTCTGCCTCCTTCCTTCTTTCTCCTGGTCAGCCCCACACCCCTGCTGAGTCACCTGCTACCAACAGACTTGGGGGGACTTGGCTTTCTGGTAGGTCCAGAAGGCACAATCTGGACATGTGAGGAAGTTAACTGCACCCCTCCTGGGGTGACCTTTCACCATGGGAAAG